GGGGGTGGTTTAGGCCATTTAGGATGTGCTCCGTTAGGCGGTAAACTGGTCGGGACATGAGTGTCTAGCTCGAAAGCCGAATTGTTCAGTCGGCAGAAGGCCGTTGGAAAATACGTGCTCATTGAGCCTGTTTGACAAGAGCCGCTCGTAGAGCTTCCCCAGGCAACTGAGGAGGCTGATGGGACGATAGCTAGAGGGCTGATTAGCTGGTTTATTCGGCTTGCGAATGCCGATAACCGTGGCTTGCTTCCAGTCGTCCGGAAAGGAGCAACTGGAGAGAAGGGTATTGAAAATGGAACAGTCTGCTGTGAAAAGGAATCGTTCGCAAAAGAGTTGACATTACACGCACACCTAGTAATAGTTTCACTAGAAAATTATAAAAACGCGAATCTTCAGTACCTTTACACATTTTAATGTACATACATATTTATAATCATCCACCGCACTCAAAGACTACAATCCACATTTATTAGCATTCAATTCGTCAATTTGCCTTAATCAAGACATTAAATTAAATTTTTATTCAGTGTTAAATGACCGCTCTGAGTGTCGCAGAACTCAACCCGGGCTTTTGAGATCGTTGTAGTAAACCGGATGGACCTGCCCATTCGTGCAACAGCGAAGACTGTTGCGTGGTACTACCACGGTTATGAATTACGATTTCAAATGTACAACTTTTGTGCGGAGAAATTCATCAAATGTGAGTTTTATACGGGCATGAGAAATTACGCTCGACAAGCAGCAGTCCGTGACGCGACGGATGGCGGCTTCCGTGAAGTTATCCAATTAATTCTTAGAGGTTTCAAAACTATTCAATATCCTATGTACGCGATTTATCACGTGCTCATCTGTGAAGGATAACATCTTAAAAATATGTGTACGTACTTACATATACAGCGTGTCTCTACAATCGCGACAATAAATGAACACACATATAGAGGATAACTTTTTAAAATTGTATTAAACATTTACATTCTTTAAACATCAATATTTACAGAGTTATAAAATTTTCCAAAACAAAGAATTTTACAACATCCTTACGTATACAACTGTAACGTAAAGTTCCTTAGTAAAGGTCACAAAGCATATGAATGGGTTGAATGAATTTAAAAGAGACAAAACATACTGTAATAAGGAGAGGCTTTTGTAATGCGCCGCTGTAGGCTGTGGCAACGAATGAAAAAGTCTGAATTTATGAATCAGTCAGTTGTAGTTGTATAGGTGTTACAAATTTTGTTTCTTTTTTACTTAATTAGTTTGAAAAATATTTTTTCTAATTATGGATTTTTTTTACGTTAATCTTTTTTTATGATTAATGGCAAGTAGCGTTAGACGTGTGTTCATTTATTGTCGCGATGGTAACGACACGCTGTATATATTCTTTTCTGTGCACTTTAGTGCAACAGCAGAATCTGATGTATCACAGTAAAGTTAAACATTAGAAAACAAATATTTTAGTAACTCTACTAATGATTTCATAAATATTTATTTATCTAAAGTTTTCATCAATTAAATATGCGCCCTACATTTTTCAAACCAAACATTATGACTTACACCTTTATGTGTAACTTTTACATTTACAAGACCACTTTATTAATATCCATTCTGAATATCTAACGTCTAACTCTAAACATAGTCCAGTATAAAATTTGAAATTAATTTTCGTATATCGTGTAAACAAAACTATTTTGACTTTCACCGAAGAGAATGATGATATTCATTTTAATTTAAAATAAAACTCGGGACATAAGACATCAGCGAATAAATTATAATATTTACTCAAAATTGGTGAGATGAGTGTCGTAGTATGAGATTAATTATAAGAGATGAGACTCGACAAGTACCAAATAAAACATCTGCCAGTTGCCATATCTTCTTCTTTCTGCACTTATCCCGTCTAAGTGGGATTGGCACAACATGGATACTGGAAAACTGATGACATACTTTTCTTTTGTAAATGCATATTATAGATATATAAACACCCAGACACTGTGTCCATCACACAATATTTACTACTTAATTAATATCGTATTGAGGTTCGTTTGACAAATTAAAAAAGTCTCCATACAAAAATATTTTATTTGGCCACGATTCAAACATAAGGAACAATGAAAGACATCTTAACAATAAATTGACAGATTAAATTTTAATTATTTATCTACAACATACATAAACTGAAACATAACCAAATTATTTACATTCATGATTGAAAGATTTGACGTACCTACTTATATGTTTTTGCTGGAATCAGCTGGTATTATTTGAGATTTACCGCCAAATTTAAAGTTTTGTTTTCATTCAAACTTCGACAATTTTTTATTTTTGCAAAATTATTGTGGGCCACAAATACAATAAACTTTAATCAATTTTCTGGGGTTGTGGTAAATATTAAATACATACAATATATGAAACCTCACTATATATACTCAACCTGTTGTACACCTGAAAAATGGCGTGAGTAAAATTTATAATTATGAGTGTTTCTAAATATTACGGGGACACTAAAGGTTTAATGTTAAACTGGTAATGTTACAGCACCAAACTGATATATTATCCTAACTGATAACATTCAATTGAAATCACTCAATTTACTCATTAATTAGTAATTAGCTTATTACATCATAACAGTTTTATTTCTTGTTGAATATATTGAAAGTATACTATGCAAAAAAGACGACAAACCATCCATCTTTCAAGGCACAGAGCACGGAGAATAACATTTAAAAATGCCTACACTACAAATAAAGTAGATTATGAGTAACTTAGAATTAATAATAAGTAGAAAACTTAATTGTACTTATGCAAACGATTTTAATCATTAGGTTTATACCACAATTTCTAACTTAAATTGTAATTATAATGTACTTCAACAATTTAAAGCTTCAAAGATCTTTATTTTATCTTCACAAGTAATTTAGTAGTAAACATTAACCAATTAGGTTGAATTGTTTAACTAAAAAAAGTATTGTCTCTGCAAAAAACAATCTTTAATATTTATACATATTATGAATTAAAGTTATGAATATTAAAGATCAATGTTGTGGAGTATTCTAAGACCTTGAAAACAAATCTTCAATCTGCTAATAGACCACCAAACATTAACAATTCATTAGATAGATTGAATATAATAATCATAAGGTATTTTGTATCTATAATTATATAAAAATATTTTTCACATTGATCTTTATTAATTTCTTAAGTAAACATGTTTTTTTTAGAATATATGAAAGTAAAATAATCATTTACATTTTAAACTGCTTCCAAACATGAACATAACTTGGGAATTGGACAGTATTTAGGAAACATACCATACACTGTACTTACAATAATTTAATAGTTACTACCTGATATTCTTTCCAGGATTACATTGGCTCAATAAGGCATCTTGCTGCATTACTAACTTTACTAAAAATCCTATTTTTATCGGCAGTATTGTTTAGGTGGGTAAAAACCTAAATGAGGCAACTTACACTTATATTATTCTACTTAGTTGTTGTCCATATTACTTCATAGCTTAGTCCAAAAGGCTAAGCGTTTTGTACGCTTCTGTACGCACCATATTGTCACAACCACTGACTACCCTATTAGATTAGGCATTAGAGATCGCCGCAATAAAATCAGTTTATGTGTGGGAAATCTCAATAGGGGGTTAAGAATTTAGGAAAATATTCGGAAAATTGGGAAATTAATATTACAATTAGAAATAATTTTATTCTATAGAAAGGTATCAGTTATTAATTAATAAACAGAATTTGGTTGCTACCTATAGTTTTCGAAAGTACAAAAATTTTCTCTTTTTATTTTTACTAAAGAAATCCGCCAATTTAAAAATTATTATTTTTTTAATTCTTATTTTTAAAATTTAATTTAATTTTTAAAAATAATAAAATAACCATTCGTTGTTTATTCTTTTTTGATTTAATGTCATAGTAATGTCATTACAATAATATAGCTTATACATCAGAATAACACAAAGGCTATAACTGTATATCTGTATTTCTATCTGAATGTTACGCCTTCAGCCCATTGTACGCAGATGTAGTCGCGGGCAGCGGTTAGTACCTAATATTAAATAGTTTTAAAATATAAATGAGCGGGAAATACTTACGGTTTTAAATTTAACATAAGATTAGTCTTAATTTAAGAAAAATTAAGGCTCACCATCCAACCCTCCCGAGCTCACGAGCCTCCTGTTCGTTTGCCCCGTTTTTCCATAAAAAATAAGATTACATAGAAAAAACTGTATACAGTCAATATGCTAATATCGATTTCGGAACTCAATCTTTTTATTAAAAGCCATTAACGTCACCATGGTCGTTTTTAATAACTGATATAAATTAAGTTTTACTTTATTTAACTTTAGAATAGGTTTTGTTTGTGAATGCACATTTTTATATATTAAGGAGCCTTACCTGATCTAAGGTTATAAGTGGATTAGTTTCAAAATGAGTCACATATCGGACACAGAGCACCCCATTTCCATGTAGTTTTGTAGTCCCTACCCTCAGAGTTTATATAAAAATGCAAAGCCATTGAAGCTCGCGTCGTATTATTTTAATATGTAGTATGTGTATCTATATAAAATACTATTTTTATATGTTTTTGTGTTACGATTTCAAAGTTGAAAGATTAGCCTAAAATTAGTTATTAGAAATTGTTGATAATGCATGCTTGTTAAGTAAAAATATGTGTTTTTTATTTAATTTTAAGTATATTATATCTGCCAAAAAAGAAAGACGTGAGTTACCATTTGTTTAAAATGAATGTTATATGCGTATAATGGCGGATTTCTTTAGTGAAAATAACAGGATTTAACTATTTTTCTCCAAATTCTTCTTGTTCATTAATTCATTACTGATTTTTCTTTATCATTTAAATTTTTTTAATTGCAATATCAACTGCTTTTCATGGAACGGCAACATTATTTTACGATTTCCATCATTACAAAAGTTGAAGGCCTATTATTGGTTTCTATCTCGGATTTCAATGGCAAGAGGCTATGTGAGAGGCTCCTCTGTGAAGTATGGATGTTCCAGACAGTCCAATGCTGTTAGTCGTTTTGCCGGGTCGAATACCAGCATGCCCTGGAAGCAATAAGCGAACATAATAAAAAAAAACGGCCAAGTTCAAGACGGACTCGAAGGGTTCCGTACCATTATTCATAAAAACGGCAAAAAAAATCATATCTGTTGTACGAGAGCCCCACTTAAACGTTATTTATTCCGTTTTTTAGTACTTGCTAATATAGTGGCAACAGAAATACATCATCTGTGAAAATTTCAACTGCCTAACTATCACGGTTCATGAGATACAGCCTGGTGACAGACTAACAGACAGGGGAGTCTTAGTAATAGGGTCCCGTTTTACCCTTGGGTACGGGAACCTAAAATCGATGCGAAAATTGCCGATGTTTAGCCTCTACTTACCCTGATCATGTTCAAAGCATGGGGATGGGCCCTCGGTAGAACAGCAGCGAGGTCCTTCGGAGGGTACTGGGGGAAGCTGTCAGCCACCACGGCCACATTCTCCGGCCACTCATGCCTCGGCGGTCGACCAATAAGCCTAAAGCAAATAAGGCAAACATTACATTTGTTATAGATTCAATGGTTTATAGTTATGTAGCAAACAGTAACCAAATATAGGTTTTAAACTCATTTTGAAGAGAGTGTACTGGAAATACATAATTCCTCACTCCCCTTTCTAACATCAAACAAGTAAACATTCAATTCAACAGCTTCCTTTTGTAATTGATATTTTCTGCATTTAAGTGATGTACCTTCTCTTTCAGAAAACATACAGCAAGAGTTAAATATTTTGCCAGTTACAAGTTTCCCATCCATATAGAAATCTAACAATATAGTTTATAAGTGTTCAGGTTTTTTTTCGGTAAAACAAAACATATAAACAAGTGACGACCCGAATGGCGTAGTCGGTAGTGTACCTGCCTTCTGCGCCAGAGGGTGTGGGTTCGATCCCCACTACTGGAAAAATATTGTGTCACGAGCACAGTGTTTTTCTAGTGTCTGGGTGTTTATATATATATATATATATATATATATATAATATGTTATTATATAATGTGTTTCCAAAAAAATAGTATGTTTAAGTATGTCTATCAGTTTTCAAGTACCCATAGTACAAGCGTTGCTTAGTTTGGGACTAGAGAATGTTGTGTAAAAATGTACCCTAAAATATTTAAAATATTTTATACTTAAATAAGGTCCAAAAAATTGTATGTTTTTTATTTCGTTTCACTTCAGAAAAGAAGACTCTAGTAATAACCTAAATATGCAGTGCAGCTGGTCAGAGTCTGAAGATCCGGGCAGGAGGGGAGACCTGGTGTGAAGCTGGGCCAGTACGCAGCCACATGACCACACGTCCACCGCGGTGTTGTAGGAAACGCCTAGCAGTACCTCAGGTGGTCGGTACCACAGGGTCACCACCTGGACACAATGCAAAGAATCTAATGCTAGATCACACACGCACACGCATAAACGGATTTGTGCGTACAAAAATAATAATAATAATAAATAAATAAAAAACGAGCTTGTCGCCATCCCGGGGAGTCACTTCGGCATGTTATTTCCGGTTGTTCCATGCTTTCTAACTCTGAGTATCTGCATAGACACAACCTAGTAGCCAGAATCCTACACCAGGAGCTCGCTCTGAAATACGGCCTCGTGGATCGAAAACTGCCGTACTACAAGTACTCTCCGGAGGCCGTGCTCGAAAATGACCTAGCCAGGCTCTATTGGGACCGGCCCATCATCACGGACAGGACGATTGTCGCGAACAAACCTGACATCGTGGTGATGGACCGGGCACAGTCGCGGGTATTTTTGGTCGTCATTACCATTCCATATGACGAGAACCTCGTGAAAGCCGAAACAGATAGAAGACAAAGTATCTGGACCTGGCTCACGAGGTGACCGACATGTGGGGTGGTGTGCCGACCGAAATTATCCCGATAGTCGTGTCTGCGAATGGGTTAATCCCAGTCAGCCTCTCCAAACATCTGAGGCGACTGGGACTCCGCGACGGATCGCTCCAAGCTCAAATGCAGAAGGCGGTGCTCCTCGATACCGCCCGCATCGTCCGCCGGTTTCTCTCCCTATCGCCCTAACCCTCGGCCGTTTGGTCTCCCCTGCCGAGGGCTTCCGTCTGGTTGGGTCCTATTTATATATGTATTATATACAACATATATATGTATGTGTTTATTTTTATCCATATTTATTTTATATATGCAATATGAATCTATATTTTAATTTTTATTTATAAACCCAACCAGACGAGAAAACAAATGAATATCCCCATAAATAAATAATAATAATCAAACAAGCCTACATTATTAAATTTTGTATACAAAAGGACGAAGAGTTTCTCGCCCAGGCGCTCCACTAAGAAAAATGGCTGATTGTCACGGATCTATTGTTACCAGTGGTCGAAATTCGACCATAAATTATACAGAATAGTGAATAGGCCATAACAGAAAGTAACATGCTTAAATATATTTTGCTTACGTCCTCTTATTTTTTTTGTTAACATTTACAGTGTTTTTGATTCATCCTTAGATAAGCATTTGTTGATGGTAGCTTAGATTTTTTTCCTAACTATAGATCAGGATAGTGTAGAAATATATACATTTGTAGAAAATCATCGATAAAAGTGTGATAAAAATTTGGATACTGTACTCACAACACTGGTCAGTTTCATCTCCGTGTCGTAAGTCTTCGCTAGTCCGAAATCGGCGAGTTTTACGCTTCCCGCAGATGTCACCAGTAGGTTGTGAGGCTTCAGGTCTCGATGGACGATGCGATGCGAGTGCAGGAAGTCTACTCCCGACAGGATGTCGTATGACATGCTCTGAAAGAGGCAAACCACGTTATGAACAATACGACAATAAAGAGATACTGGAGACACTGGAGGCTACATCGCTTTTGGGACATAACAAACATATAAAATAAATAGAAACAAATAAAATTGTGTCAAAAATAATTTTGCCTTAATAAGTAATAAGAGCCGTGATAGCTCTGTGTCCGGGCGCTCGCCTTTAATTCAATATACTCTGGCAACCTGATTTCGATCTTCGGTGCCGGCACCAATGAAATTGTTAGTTTTATGTGATGGAAACCTGCATATTTTCGAAATAATAAAAAAAAAATATAATTTCTAAGATATGCGAAGTCCGCCAATCCGCAGTGGGGCCGCATGGTGGACTGTGCACTACAACCCTCTGTGCAGAGGAGGCCTTTGTCCAGCAGTGGGTTATGATAAGGCTTTTACTAAGTAATTACAGAATACAAAACTCGCAGAGAGAGAATTATATTTATTTGAACTTGTGATCTGTAAATGGATCAAAACTTAGGCAAAACTCACTCTTATCCGGTTTTCAGAGAGAGGTCCGGGTGCTCTCTTCAAATAAGACTCGAGATCCTGTTCCACATGCTCGAACACCAGGAACAGGACCAGCTGGTGATCTCGGTCAACGGATTGTCCACCATGACATACATCTAGAAGCCTATTAAGCCAAAGCAGAGTTGATATTGTAAATAATATGAATAATTATTATTTTGTAAATGTAGTAAGTTATTCATACTACTCACAAATCAATTGAAAGTTTCTTATATGTTGAAAGAAAATAAACCATTTCAATTAGTTTTGTTAATATAATGAACTATGTGACAACTACATCATACCTTACAATATTAGGGTGCCTGTATGCTTCTAGTTGCCTTAACAGAGCAATTTCCCTTAGTGTAGATAGAGGAATGCCATCTTCGGTGAGTGCTACTTTAACTTTTTTCATGGCCACAATTTGACCACCATTGTGAAGATCTCTGGCTTTATACACTGTTCCATAGGCCCCTAAAAGGAGAAATAAATGATATTTATTTTTAAAATTTAATTATAAAAGAAATCAAGTTTCCAAAGATAACTTGTGAATGAGTGGAAGGGAGCACACAGCAATTTATTAGATGTGTTATAAAACACGGCTTTTACCGATTTATCCAACTATAACTCAACAAGGACTCAATAATTGGATAACAATAATACTTGGCTTTTCCAACAGAGCAACAGTCTTAACTTCCAATAACCAAAAACTAACCCGCGTACATTGTGAGAGTTGAATTTATACCTCTCAATAACAAATACCAACCAACCCCCCATTCTAGGGTGTAGGGTGTATCACGACGCAATATGTATCAAACCAACAACTTTTAAATAAGTCAGAACAAACTGTACTGTGTACATACTGTACTAATAAATTATTGATAAATTATTAATTAGATTAAACATGTGCCATAATCTTAACAAATTTCTATTGTGGAAGACATGAGCAGGCTACAGCCTTAAAAAAAACCAGCATGAAATGGGAGTTATACAGCGTGTCTTTACCACCGCGACAATAAAGGAACACACGTCTAACGCTACTTGCCAAAAACCTTAAAAAAATATTAACGTTAAATAAAAATCCATGATTTAATAAAAATATTTTTCAAACAAACTAATTAAGTAAAAAAGAAACAAAATATGTAACATCCTATACAACTACAACTGACTGATTAATACATTCAGAGACTTTTTCATTTGTTGCCACAGCGTCCCATTACAAGCCTCTCCTTCTAACAGTATGTTTTGTCTCTTTTAAATTCATTCAACCCATTCACATGCTTTGTGACCTTTACAAATGAACTTTACGTTACAGTTTTATACATAAGGGTGTTCTAAAATTCTTTGTTTTGAAAAATGTAATAACTCTGTAAATATTGATGTTTAAAGAAAGTCAATTTTAAAAAGTTATCCTCTATGTGTGTTCATTTATTGTCATGATGGTAAAGACACGCTGTATACTTTCACATTTTGTCTGGTGAGTGAGGTAACTAGCCTCACTTTTTTAAATGATGGTCGATGCATCGGCATCCCATCAACACTCAACATCAATATACATAATGCACTAGTTCAACTTATATAATGCACTTCAACAACTTATATAATTGTACAATCAAATTTCCACTTTATTTTAACAACATTAAATCTATTTTACACAATCACACAAAATAAATATATAACTTAACAGTCCTCAAGCAACAGGTATGAATGAAATCTTACTACATAAATGCACAAAGAGATAACGATATTGCCGAATAGCTTCTTTCTCTTTTCCACATAACAATTGATCTGTCAGTTTTTTGTAAAAAAAATACATGAAATGAAATGCAACACGAGACGAACTGTCGTTTACATAAAAATTGCGTTTATTTTATAAGAAACTACTGGTACACTCAGTAGTAATAAAAATATTAAAATCGTAATTTTTGTAGATTAAATTAAAAACAAAAAATGCGCGAGTTTTTGTTTCGCCGGCACATGGCCGGCGGTGGTAGGTTATGAAACTATATCATAATATACCTGTTCCAATAACATTAAGTTCTTCGTACTTCTTTGCCGTCTGAAATAAAGCACTAACGTCACTTATAGAGGCCATAGCGGGTGGGCTTTGCGATGTGCTGCTAGCACTTGCACCAGACATAGTGATAATGATGCTTAGTTTGCAATTTTTAGTTGAAGCACTTTTATACACTTTTATAAAGAAAAACAACTTCCCTTTACACTGTAAACAGTAATTGCATAGTTGCACTTCTTACATGACACGCGTTTAAGATTACTAAAATTATTACTTGAACAAAAGTTGACTTCAAAAAGTTGTTTTCTAATTTAATTGTCAGTTAAGTTCTGAGGAGCAAGTATAAACACCTGTCGTGTAATACGACCAATTTCTATGAACAATATATTCTGGTACATATTGTTGATAACTTCGCACCGTTTAAATAGATGGGATTATTTGAAAGAATTCTTAATAAAAAATAGCGACATCTATTAGGGCTTAGCCAAACTGTATTCAACAATCATGATGGATGTTAAGATTGTTTAAAATTACTATACAATATACATCTTATTACCTCATACTGTCTCACTAATTTCATAACTCTTATTAATTTTATAACACCTAATTTACATATTTTCATTTAATTTAATGAGTTCTAATATATAGTTCTTATTTTCACAAATTCATTTACTACTTGAATACATCAAGTAGTAAATGAATTTGTGAAGAATTTGTTATTGCGCCATCTGTACAAGTATTGGGAATACATAAAGTGCTCTTTTTCAAAGATTTTTTAAAGATTAAATATAAGTTTACAAATTAGAGAGTTTTTTTCAAACAAATATTATTTTAATGTCATTTACCAACCATAGAAAAAAAAATCATTTCAACAGGAAAAAATATATAAATTGTCAAAATGGACAGTAAAAAACATTTTAAGGGCCTTATTTGTTTACCCAGTATTAACTTTTAAATTGATTTAGCAAAAGTGAATAAAAATGTATTATGTTTTAAAAATAAACTTGGGCTCGTCCGGGATTTGAACCCGGGACCTCTCGCACCCGAAGCGAGAATCATACCCCTAGACCAACGAGCCATATGATATGCGATTGAATTTAATTATTATAGCAAACAAACCACTCTTTGCGATATTCTTTAATAAAATAGGTTTTTAAAAATTAGAAAAATATAGACGAATTTCAAAAGTTGTACATTTGTACAATCCAAACAAAACTTAAGCTATTGGAGGGTAAGCAAAAATGTTAAATGTATAATCTAATCTTTAACAACGTGAAATAATATTTAAAATTACTTTAGAAAGATTTTTTTTAAATTAAAATGAATTAAACCTAAACTTAGATAGTTTAGGCTTCAAATGTGGTCATCGAAATTATTGTTTTAACATGTAAAACAAAAATCGAGGTGTTTTAGAAAGTAGACGCGCGAAAGGAGAAAAAAAATTACCGCTACATGATTTTCTATAGCTATCACTTTCTTTGTTACGGAATATTAATCTTTCATCCCTCTTACACATGTGACGTCGAGCGAAGTCTTCGAAACGCGCCAGTCGGCATCCAACAGTAGTGCGCGCGTATGTTTAAACAAAACGCTAGAATTTTTGACGCATATTATTAACTTAAAAAATATTTTTATTTATTTTTAATTGGACTTCCATGAAAAAATCTATTTAATAAATTACTGTTAGGTTAAGTTTATTTATTCTTTTAAGTTTAATGAAATCGGAACTCGTGTGTCAGTGCTTGGTAAAATGTGAAAGTTGGTTTAACGTGTTAAGAAAATAGTGCAAGTTCCTCTAGCTACTTTTAGCATACTTTTGTGATTTGATCAGCTGATATATTGTTGTAGCAAAATTCAGGTAAGAAAGACTCTAATTCAATATTTAATAACTTGAAGCAAATGTACTATATTTTAATGTGTATGTAATTATAGTCTAAATATTTGCTTATATTTTGGAGTGGGTTCAATAAGGTTCTTTATAAAAGTTGATTATTGTATACATGTACACATGTTTGTTTTATACGTTTTTATTATACTTATCGAAGTTTTCATCATCAATACTTATAGTACCATCATCAATAAACTATACATACAAAGTACAAACTAGGGTTGTCACCCTTTAGACATACAAGTTTCCAGATTAGTCGATGACACCGATTAAAACCTCGTCGGGGACGCGTCCGGTCCAGTTTTTTTTTCTTTAAGGCCCTTCGAAAGGAATAATATAAATAGCAATCGTCTATATACGCATCATAGTATAGCTGTAGAAAACTTAAAACTCTTAAATACTATATTATATTAATTTTAATTAGTTACAACATCTAATAAACTATAAGCCTTAATAATAGTTCAAGTTTTAAAAGATTTTCTTCTGGAGATCAAAATTATTAGCTTACAGCTTTACGTAGCTATAAAGTCACAAGTTAGAGAAAATTTATTACTCATTAAAATTGGTTACACTTACGACTTTAGATTGTTTAATATTCATAAAATTCTATTTAAATAAACTTTCAACAACTGGTTGCTGTATGCTTTATATATATTATATCTTATAATCGGAATCTCGGAAACGGTTCCAGCGATTTTCATCAAATTTAGTATGTGCGTAGATTCGGAGGCGAAAAATCGATCTAGTTACGTTTCATTTTTAGAGAATGTCTTTTTATCCCTGTTTTCAGGGAATGAAAAATATCACTGGAACTTTATTTTTTTTAATTTCCAAAATACACGATTTACCAAAAAAAACCAAGGTCCTCCAGGTACTTATTAATTAAATGTAGATTTTTCTCTTACCGAAACATTTGGAATGTTGTACTTCTGCCATTGAACGAAAATACCGTACGTACCAGGAAATCACGCTGGTTTACGAAACGATAATAATAAAATATTTCGAAGATATGTTAAGTATGCAAATATGCGGTGGGATCTCGTGGTGGTCAACCATTGCTTCATATACTCTGTACAGAATAGCCATTTGGCAGTAGTAGGACCTGTAGGCTTAGTACTTAGGTACGTACTTAGTAATTACGTTCTTAGTACTTTACGTTTTATATCGTTCTAGGTTTTATCATCTTCATAATTTAAGATTGTTATCCACTGCTAGACGTAGACCACCCTCATTTTTATATCACTCCAAATGGTTTTATTGTCATGTGCCTAAGTCCTTCATCGTTTCGGCTTGTTTTAGTCCATTGGTAGGCCTAGACGTAACGTCTCCCAATCTTATACCACTGTGAAAGATTTTATTGTCGTATACTCAACTTCTTCCGTGTCTTTCTCCTACCCATATCCCACATTAGGTGGTTCGGTACAACATGTCCTTCCTCGGAACCATGTTGTTATTTCAGTTATTGGCTTTTTTTTATGACCGGCCTGACGTCAACCCTCCTTGGGAATTCTAGCGAACTTATATTTATCTGACCTAAAATATTATATAACTAGTAGATATATTAATACAGGTACGAAACTTAATAAAATGCACGCACATTTCTAAAAGGAAACTGTTCTCTTGATAGTAGTATTCTCTATAAATGCAGTTCTAAATAATGATCTAACAAGTTATATATATATCCTACCGATTTTGAGTTCTGCCTTTGTCAGGTCTCCAAAACTTTAATTTTCGGCACGCAAAGAAACAACGCACTTAGCCAGCATTTGTTTACACTTCTGTTTAGTTTAATGCGAGGAAAAATTGAACCCATACAAAAACCTACTTACATAATTTTACTAGCCGCGTTATCATGGGGAACGTTTTTTATGTGAAAAGTTGACAAGCGTGCACAATGGCACAAGGGTCTCCTGATGTTAAGTGAATACCGCTGCCCATGGACATCTACAACTCCTGAGATTACAACGCACTTGCAACGACTGGGTTGCAGGTTGCAGGTGTGTTGCCAAATATTAAAAAGTGGGCCCCTGCTACCTCACTCACCAGACGAAACGCGAAAGTATGATACGTCTTCGGCGACGGCGTTGTACTTTCCTGGATGACTCTGCCCATTCGTGCCACAGCACAGGCGATTGCGAGTAGCTGTGTCGATTGCCGGCAGTCTTTTTAACATTACTTAACATCGAACACGTTGTCTGGAAGAAATCGCTTTTGAGCGATAAGCCTATTGTAGGTACTTCCTTTTACATTCATTTGTAATTTGCTTTGTATGTAACGGTGGTAGGGCCACGCAGCAGCCTCGGCTATTGCACGGTAGCCGGAGCCCAATTTTCAAAGGGTTGTCAACGCATCTGCAATCCTCGGGTGTAGCGGATGTCCATGGGCGGTTCGTAGTCCATGCGTTGGAGTCGTGGGCGCAGCCGGTCATAATAACTATGATGTTATGTATTGGATTAATATTAATAAACATTGATATCTAAGCGGTTTTTGGATGATCATGGTTGACGATAATAACTGAAATATGTATAATTTATATTATTACAATGTCGAAGGATACAACATTGAGGACAAGGATCTGTGGAAATGACTCTTTCTCTGCACTTTCAAGTCCCCTGACTGCTGGTGATTTTATACATAAATAATTTTGTAAACTTATATGATTAAATAGAAAAGAAGATAACAAGATCGCAGAGTTTCTGGGCCGGTTTTTCTCTGGACAGGTGTAGTTTAGTAAGCGGCGTGGTGGCAAAGTTCTCCTTTAAATCATTCACCGGATATAATGGAATAGTTTTAATACTCCCACTTTACACCGGTCTTCCGTGAGGCTATTACGCTTCCCGGCAAGCAATTCCAGTAGTAACTTCAGCGTGGCTCTACCAGATATGAACTGGTGCTTTGTTTGTCGCTGTTGTTTCATTATTTTTATATGGCTAGTGGTGCCACGGTGTTGCGGACTTGCTAAACTATTCGGCTTCGGAACCGGGGTTCTGGGTTCGATCAACACACGGAAAAAGCATTTGTGAGACCCGCAGATAATTGTTGCTGATGTAGGTGTTTGTTCCAAAAGGTACAGCCATGTCAATACCACTAACGACATGTTGCGCGTATTGGCCCGGCCCCCGTGGTTGCGAAAAGGACGGGAGGAAAAAAAAGGGCTAGTTTTTAATTACCATCACCTTTCCGGTAAATGGTGTTAAACTTCCTATGTCAGTAGAAGTCTATTAAATTAACAGACTTT